TTTCCCTTTTCTTTTTTTTTTGTCTGTTTAGTTTTTCTCTTTTGTATTTTCTTTTCTGTTTTATTTTAAGTTCCCTTTTATTACAGTTTTATAAAAACACTAGCACCTAAATTTGTATTTATAAATATACTACTGCCACCTTAATTCTCAACCGAAAATGAAATAGTTTAATATTTTATAAAATTCAATAGGCATGTATTTAACTGTTTTAACTACTGTTTTAATTATCTTAGAGCCTTTAAACACTTTATCAAATTTTGGTTTCTCCACCATAATTACCGCTGCATTATTTAATTCACTCCGAACATTTTAGTTTTAAAGTTTGGAAACTTTTGTTGTTTGCCTATGTTTTAAATTTGAATTTGAATCGGATTCGAATCAACGTGAGTGTAATCACAGTAATGGAGGTGACGTGGCATCATTAGCTTGGAATTACTGTAGTCTAATTATCCGGGCGTCACACATTTTGTGTGACACTACAAATCGTCCAAGAAAATGGACATGCCTAGTGACGCCAAAAGCGTCGCAGAATTACAGGCCAGAACACCGCCGAAGTTGGCTAGGGTGTTGCCCGTGAGGAAACACCTCTTGACGATGGATCATCATAAAAAATGATTTTAGACAAAGTTTCCTGTTTTGTCGTTAGGATTTTTGTCACTAAATAGATGGAATTTTATAGTGATGTTTGCGGACTGACGCGCTGCTTTCGTCGCTCTCATGCGGAAGCCATCTCACCTCGTCGATGACAACTGAGAAATCTTCATGCACGTGCTCCTAAGGATCAACAAACAGGAGTCGCAACCCTTACATCGATATGAAGAATTTGACATTGAACCTCGACGTCGCTTGCGCACGACAAGAAACCCTAACCTCGTCGTCCTGATGAGCCGGTAGAAAATTACGATGGAATCAAGTCCAATCTGTTGCGACGGGTGGACTTGGGAGGACCGAATCCTCGAAGACAAACTCAAAGATGAAGGGCTGCCATCCGTCCGAGCACCGCCTCCACAAGTGGACTAAAATCCTATCTTATCTACATGTTGGAGCCGATGCATCTTTGTTACTGGCGGCCCAAGCCACGGGCCTAGGGGAGATGAATCCACATGCTCACCAGTAAAAAGTGAGGAGATGAAGGTTTCACCCTAAGCTGCCTTACGATGCTTCTACTTCTATCCCCTTTCCTTCTAGCTTAGTTGGACCTCAATTGCATCAACACACTTGACCGAATCCGCATTCGCACGATAAACCAGATCATTCGCCAGTACGGGCCAGGCTTCGAGCCGGGCTTGCAATAGCTAGACCTTCAAACTCGAAGCCTGTCATGAAGTTCGAATCACTCCTTTTACAAGCCCGACGCTCAGCTCGAACGACACTTTCCGGTATCTCCACGTGCAGGCCTAGCCCAAAACCCGAAAATCCTCCTGAAACCATGAACAAGATAAACCTGGAAAATGAGGATTGCGAAGCCCGACCCGGCCCAGGTTTTTGGGCCGGGCTGTCCATAACAGGCCTATCGCACGAGTCTAGGCTTCCGGTGAAAATCTCGTGATATGCAACACTGCCACACTGGCATGATCATAATCTACGTGGTAGGAAATTTTATTTTTACTTTGTGCCCGTGTACCCTCTACCCGTACCCCCAACGGGGCAGAACTGCCATTTTTTACCGCGCAGGATGACAGATCGGCAAAGAGATTCCACAAGAGTGAGAAGCCAGTCACATGGAGATACCATTCGCGCGCATAGTACGTGTGCTGAACCAGTAGCCAGACAAAGCACATAATGCGAGAGGTAAATCTAACGAGCGGCATGCGACCTGCGAGCGCGACGCGGCATGCAGCACCACCGGATAAGCCACACCGGCGCCCCGATGCCTGCCCTGCCCCCACGGGCCAGCCACAGGCGCCACAGCCAGTCTACAAGCCTCCGGGCCGGGGCCCCGCGCGTCACCCTCAGGCCTCAGCCACTGTCGGTGCCCTCCCCTCGCATTTCAGGTCGCTCTCTTCCCCCGTCCGGCAGATCCCATCGCCCCTCCCGCGCTGCTCTACCGTTTCCATACACACACATCGGACGGAGCCGCTCGGTTCGCCACCTCCCCCGGTCTCAAGTCTCACTGCCTCGTCTCACTCTCTCACTGATGCCTATAACTCCCCGCGCCACGCACCTCTCTCGCCCCCTCCCCGCGTTCCCACACCGCCACGCGCATACGGACTCCTCGAGCTGGAGCGTGGGCTCGTGTAGCCTCGTTCGTTCATGAGCGGCGGCGAGTCGGCGGCCTCGCGCGAGGAAAAGGACTCTGAGCAATGAGGCTGTACATCACGGCGGCGGCCGGCGACGACGACGCGACGAAGCCGAAGGCGCCGCAGCTGCAGGCGGCGCGGCGAGGCTACCGTTCCGTTGTGGTCACGGGGCTCCTGGCCGGCGTGCTCCTCTTCCGCGCCGCGCTCCTCGCCATCGAGACCGGCGCCTCCCTCTGCCCTTCCGCCACCGGTAACGAAGCTCGTTCGCAGCCCATTTTTCCTCTTCCTCGTCGGTGATTTGTGGCGTATCCACCGGTTAATTGCTCCCCCATTCTCGTGTGCGAGCGCCTCAGGTTGCTCGGACTGGAGGGCGGGGCTCGGGCGCTGGCTCTACGGCGGCGGCGGCGACGCGACGGAGGTGAGTCCGGCCGACCTGGCCTCTACTACCAGTGTACTAGTGTGTTAGGCCCGTGTCCGATCGTGCGCGTCAAAATGTGTTTGGACTTTGGCAGGCCGCGTAATAAGTTAGGCGTCGGGCTTTCTACTTGTACGTGAGCTTTGACATCTTTTTTACCCGCGGCTGCGTGGCGGAAATGGGTGGTGGATGGGCACGGAGATTCTCACGCGCTTCTGCTCCCTGTCAGTAAAGCGTCGTTCACGGGAATGGGAATGTTTAGGGGCCAGGTCGGCACGGCAACACGTCGCTGCACTCGACCGTGGCCTCCACCACGTGGCTGACGGGTGGGGCCCTGAGCCCATCGCCCGGTCTGATCCGGGCACTGTACTTTGTAGTCTGCCAGAGCTCCATGGTTGGCGCCCCGGTTGAGCTACTAGTCGTATTCAATGCGCATGTTCTCCGGTGCCCTGCGGTTTTATACATCCGAAAATAAATCTCTACTACCTATTAAAAGAACGCCCGTGCGTTGCAACGGGGTCACATTAACTTTAAGAGTTCAATATTAATCATGTTAATAATACATTTAATATTCTCATACATATCAAGTGACGCTGGCGATCTTTTTTGTCAATTTAGCAACGGGCTCAGTTGCAACGGGCTCTTTATACATATCAGACAACTCGCTACTACTTAAACTACAACTATAGATATCAATATTTTTTTGTCAATTTAGCTCAGCAATAGTGCCTGGCTTAATAGACTGCTTTGCATTCACCCCCTCAGAAGACAGAGAGAACCAACTCAATATGTCAGAAGATTAACAGAAATTTCATTTGTATGGCATGAACATATAGCAGGAGCACCAACACATAGATCAGCAGAGAGCAGAGCACAGAATGCACACACTCGAGCCATCTATATCATACACACACATCAACGCACACACGCATCACACTGGCATACACATACAGAAAAGTAGGCACATACGCATCATGCGCATTGGCCGGTGCGACGCACGCAGAGCAAGTACGTACGCACGGAGAGCAAGCTAGCAAGCACGCACGCGTCCAACCCCGCCGCTGCATGCGCTGGCAGAAGGTGAGGCAGCAAGGGAGACTGCACATTGAAGCTGTCCATGCAAGGCTGGAGGTGATGGGCCGGCGACGGCGGTGTCGGGACGGCGCTTGATTCGTTCCCAGTGGTGTGGAGCTTGGGGCGGCAACGCGGCGATAGCTAGTGCTCGGGGATGGGGGTATGGGGCGGGGGCAGTCGACCCGATGGCTGGCGAAGTTAACGGGTTCGGGCGGCTGGAAATTCGGCGGGTGGCGGCGGCACAGCGCGAGGATGGGACAGCCGGAAAACCTAGCGGGCGTTCAACTACCAATACCCACGCCCTTTTTAGGGGAATTGCTTGTGAAAATAAAGTGCGACGACGACTTAGCGAGCGGATCCCCTTAAAAAAGATATAGCGAGCAGATTCCCTTAAAACTGGTAGGAATGGATACGATTGATGACATTGATAAATAGTGGTGAATGTTGGCCTAATTTACTATCATCATGTATGGAAATGAATCATCAAGAAAAAGAATACTTCCTATTACTGCACTCATAGGAAGCTTCCTAATCTCTGCTACCAAACAATTTCTGCCCAAACAAGGAAGAAAAGTTATGGACGTGATTCGGAAGGAAACAAACGTTATGAAGATTAATTAATTTAGATTTGATCTTTAGAGATTGATTGTGATTGATTCTTTTACATAAAGACATTGCTAAATAATTTGCGTCAGTATGGAAACGAATCATCAAGAAAAAGAATACTTCCTATTACTACACTTATAGGAAGCTTCCTAATCTCTGCTACCAAACAGTTTCTGCCCAAACAAGGAAGGAAAGTTATGGACGTGATTCGGAAGGAAACAAACGTTATGAAGATTAATTAATTTAGATTTGATCTTTAGAGATTGATTGTGATTGATTCTTTTACATAAAGACATTACTAAATAATTTGCGTCGGTATGGAAAGTTCTGATCCGTTCAGTTTTTTTCGTTGTGTGAGAGGCTGAAGTGAAAATAAACCGATGAAGTGAGGGAGGCGACGAAAAAAATCTACGACGGTTAACCTACGAAAAAAAACCGGACGAAAGTGGTGGGACGAGAAAAACCCTGGAAGCGAGACTACGAACTGCTCCATTAGGAGTAGAGAAAAAGAATGTAGGGTTCCCATTCCACCTTTATTCGCACCACTCCTTCGTCCAACCTTCCTTATATGATAATAAATCAACTTAATTACTTACCTTTTGAACCAGTTTCACTTTAATTTACTTACCAAACTTCGGATCAAAATCTAAGGTAATTCATGGGCAGAATTTGATGATCGTTTATTTACACAATTGCATTATTATAGACAAGTAAATTACAAGCCGACGTACTAGAAGATTTATACCCCGTTGCAACGCACGGGCATTGTTCTAGTAAATAAATAAAATTAAATAGGCCGTTTAGCCGGTGTGTGAGTGTGATCAGTCCATCTCATCAAAGTCCGACCGAAGTCGCCTAAGAAAAGCAAAGTCCGACCGAGGTCAAGCACTTTTGCTCATCTAAAAAGGCGCTGCGCGGGGTTCGCGGCTTGTGTTCTTCAAAGGTGGAGCTGGTACGTGAAACGGTCGTGGATTGACAACTTTTTCTGGTCAATTTGTACCAGAAAAACTGCCTACTTTGACGACCCAGGAGGACGAAACTCCGCATAGTGGTAGATTCGTACGTACGTGCCTGCATTATTCCGGCCTGGCGGGTCCCCGACCAGTTGGTGGGCTGGGTTTATTCTGCTGCGAGCCGCCATGGATACATACAAAACCCTTGTGACTTTCTTCTTGTGAATGAGGCGACTCGCTCGCTCGGATTCTCCACTGGTGGCCTGCAATCCAGCGTGGAAGTGCTCATCGGACAAGACCTTTAAACCTTTGTGTTTGGAACTATACGTGCGTTCGCTCTTTTCCAAGCAGTTGCGGCCTTGCGGTTGTGGAGTTGTGGTCCTTTAGCCATCCATGATCCATGCATGCATGCTCATAGATCTTTGTTTTCACGCGCAGAACACACATGATGTTTCTTACTAGTAGTACTTTTTACTGATAAATAAAATGACTGTCAATTTTGATGAATGGAATGATCAGGAATTTATGAGAGAGTGGAAGAGAAGCCACAGGGTGGCTACCCTGCTGGACCCCGTGGTGGTGGAAGCGGCACCGGATTCCTTGGACGGTCTCATGGCGGAGATGGACACCATTCTGGCCTCCTATGATCGGCTTGACATGGAAGACGTGGTCGTGAAGATAATGGCCATGGTACGTACGTCGAATTTACAAGCACTTTGACACTTTCTCCCGAAAATCCTTGCTCAACTTTTAGCGGGTTTTCGGTAGCATGCCTGCAGCTGCATGTTACTGCCACCTTAGCTGAATTCAGCAACCAAAGTGCTTTCCCCGCGGAAAGGCCTCATCATATGGTCCCTGTGTTGTCCCCTCCTCGTGCCTTCTCTAGCCTAGAGATATGATCTGCTGCTTTCATCTGCATGGTCATGCATGGACGCTCCTCGATTTGTCAAACATGCAAACCTGTAATCATTCATTCGTTCTGAATTTCTGGTGTGTGTGTGTGTGTGTGATTTGAACCAGCTGCTAAAGATGGACCGGAAGCTCAAGTCGTCAAGAATCCAGACTCTGTTCAACCGGCACCTGGCCTCGCTCGGCATCCCCAAGAGCATGCACTGCCTGGCGCTGCGGCTGGCCGAGGAGTTCGCGGTGAACTCCGCGGCCCGCTCCCCAGTGCCGTTGCCGCAGTACGCCCCTCGCCTAACAGATGCCTCTCGCGTCCACGTCTGCCTCGTCACCGACAACGTTCTTGCGGCCGCCGTGGCCGTGGCGTCCGCCGTCCGGAGCTCGGCCGGCCCGTCGAGGCTCGTGTTCCACGTCGTCACCGACAAGAAGAGCTACGTCCCGATGCACTCGTGGTTCGCGCTGCACCCGGTTGCTCCGGCGGTCGTCGAGGTCAAGGGCCTCCACCAGTTCGACTGGCGCGACGGCGATGCCATCGCCTCTGTCATGAGGACCATCGACGAGGTCCAGAAGAGCTCGCTGGATTATCACCAGCTGTGCGATGGATCGGTGGAGAGGGAGTACAGGAGGCTTGAGGCCACCAAGCCGAGCACGTTTTCGATCCTCAACTATCTCAAAATCCATCTCCCAGAGGTAAACCAAAAGAACAGGAACACAGTACATCTGTATTACTATCGTCGATGGATGAAATGGTGAGTAACAATTGGCACCTTGTGTGTTAACCATCGTGTGCAGTTCTTCCCGGAGCTCCCGAGGGTGATACTGCTCGACGACGACGTCGTGGTGCGCAAGGATCTGGCCGGGCTGTGGGAGCAGGACCTGGACGGGAACATCATGGGCGCGGTCGGCGCGCACCGGCCCGGCGCGGACGGTGGCATATGCATCGAGAGGACTCTCAGCGAGCACCTCAACTTCACTGACCCTGCAGTGTCGTCGCTAGGCCTCGACGGTTCGCACTGCGCGTGGTCCTGGGGCGCCACCATCGTCGACCTCGACGCTTGGCGAGGAGCGAACGTTACCGAGACGTATCAGCTATGGCTGCAAAAGGCAAGCCCTCCTTACCCTGTACTCTCACCATTTTCGTACCACGATCGAGCAAGCAACTCTTAGCAGTACCGACAAGACAAGTGAGAAGTGACAAGGTTCATTAACTTCTTGTGTCGGGTGCGTGCAGAACCGCGAATCAGGGTTCAGGCTGTGGAAGATGGGGTCGCTGCCGCCGGCCCTGATAGCGTTGGACGGTCGGGTGCAGGCGATCGAGCCGCTGTGGCACCTGCCGGACCTCGGCCGGCGCATGCCCGACGCCGAGCTGCTGCAGCTCTCCGCCGTCCTGCATTTCAGCGGGCCGCGGAAGCCGTGGCTGGAGGTGGCGTTCCCGGAGCTGCGGGAGCTGTGGCTCGGGCACTTGAATAACTCGGACAGCTTCCTACGAGGCTGTGGCGTAGTGGAATGACGGTGACGGAACAGGAAGAAGGTTCAAGCTGGAAAAGGGGATAAAAGTACAGTGATCCGGTGCAAGAACCGGGTGCGGCGCTGGGTTTGTGAGGAGAGGGAAGTAGGTGCTGCCTTCAGCCTTTCCTCGACCTGGCTCTGCCATATTTGCTCGTTTAATGCCACTGAGTAGAAACTACTCACGGCGTATATATATAACTGGGATATTTATTTGTTATTAGTTACAAAACGGAAGCTGGAAATTGCAGAAGTTGTAGCCACGAGATAATTTTTCTTTGGCTCCAATGATGAAGTCACTGTATGGAACTATGGTTCATTTAATTAACAAGATGAACTCACTGCCAAAAAGAGAAACTTTTCTTGGCTCGCTGCAAACGAAAAAAAGGTTCATTTTATTGCAATGAGGCTCAATTTTAGACCCATTGCTCCTGTTAACGTGGTTTTCAAACTGGTAGTTAAAGTTTTCGCCTTAAGAGCATCCGCTGCCGCAACCTGCAAATGTGACCCCTAAAATGTATACGGACCTGCCCGCGGATAGTGAATGGACGGGCCTCAAATTTTACCATTTGCAACCGCAAAGCATATTTTCAAAACAGCTAATACATGCAAACACATGCACATCGATCATTTTGGATGTTGCGGACGTTAGGCCGGCGGGATTGTCAAAAAACACCGAATAGTAAATTGCTCATACTAAGATTTTTCACATCCATATTGGGCCGGCGGGTTTCAGATGTTTCTGTCCCACCTCGCCGCATGAGGAGCTAGTCGACTAGCCGGGTAGTTCAGAAGCGATAAGCTTCAGTAATCAATGCATCCTTTGTTAAGAAGATGGACTATCACTATTAATCTTCTCCACTATTAACCACAGAGAAGATTAATACTCATCGTCTATCTCCTTCACAAACGGAACATTCATGTTTGCACGGCATTTTATGAATCACAATGTGTCGAACGGTGCAAGGGTGTAGGCCAAAATAAAACCCGATGAACAATTTTAAAATCACATTCATTGTAGTAGGGACGTATATGAACAAGATGAACATGACACCCAATAAACAATCATGAGTTGATGAAATGCCATCTAGTGTCAAGCTACCTCGTTCACACAACAATAATTGATCGACCTATGCAACAAGAGAGAAGCTTGGCGCCATTCACCGATGCGGCAATTTAAGTCGGTCAACGTCCTTCTCGCACGGCGAAGTGGGACTAAATTTGGGTGCCTCTGTCTTGACCTAGAAGGGGCTTTGGGTGGTTGTACGTGGGACCGCTGTGACCTAGAGCGGGGTGCCCGGCCGCGTCCGGTTGCCTTCATATTGTCCCTACATTTGGCCCAAATTTGAGGGGTGCCGGTCAGTCCAGGCGTATAGGGACTAAGTAAGGGTCTGGTTGGGTCAACTTTTTTGATCGAGCATTGACCAGGCGGTCGTTGCAGACGTTTAGGGAGGAAATAGGGGTCCGGCTGTAGACCTATAAGACTCAGCCCGGTTGCCCAACACATTGTGAACCGATGTCAATCTGTTTGTTATTTAGGATAGGTGCATTCTCCAAGGGAGGTGATTCACGGAGTCAAAGTTTAAAACACAAGGAAACTTGTTTTTGAAAATGCCTATGGCCAAGTTAATTGGCACTTCCTTCCCTAGGTGTTGATCTGTTAGGTTTTCATGTTGCTTTGCGTGCATCAGATGATGCAACAGGTCTTAGGTTGGAAGACTGCAATTTGTTTCAATGAGGACGTCAACCCTTTCTTTAGGAAGAAGATGGACCTTAGACAAGGTGATCCCATCTCCTCGCACATGTTTGATGTTACCATGAACGCCTTAGGTACGGCAAAGAGAAACCGGAGGGCCACCTTAAGGGTGTCATTTCTCACCATATGGGGGGGGGGTGTCACACCTACAGGTCGACACGATCCTCATGTTTGAACTTGACCATCACAAACATCACCACTATTAAACGTCTCCTACTATGTTGTCAAGCGATGTATGGCATGAAGATCAACTTCAATAAGTGTGAGATTATGCCCGTGGGGATGAAAGGCACCGAGGAAATGAGGATCACCAACTTGTGGAATGGCAAGCTCTCGGCATTCCTTGTTTCGTACATAGGACTCCCTGTCGGTGTCAAAACCGGTGGATCTCGGATAGGGGGTCCCGAACTGTGCGTCTAAGGCCGATGGTAACAGGAGACAGGGGACACAACGTTTACCCAGGTTCGGGCCCTCTCTATGGAGGTAATACCCTACTTCCTGCTTGATTGATCTTGATGAATATGAGTATTACAAGAGTTGATCTACCACGAGATCGTCATGGCTAAACCCTAAAAGTCTAGCCTGTCTGACTATGATTATGAGGAATATATCTCTACGGACCTAGCCCTCCGGTTTATATAAACACCGGAGGGATCTAGGGTTACATAAGGTCGGTTACAGAGAATGGAATCTTCATATTTGGTCGCCAAGCTTGCCTTCCATGCCAAGGAGAGTCCCATCCGGACACAGGTAGAGTCTTCGGTCTTTGTATCTTCATAGCCCATCAGTCTGGCCCATGTCCAATAGGTCGGACGCCCGAGGACCCCTTAGTCCAGGACTCCCTTAGTAGCCCCCGAACCAGACTTCAATGACGAGGTGTCCGGCGCGCAGATAGTCTTCGGCATTGCAAGGCGGGTTCCTCCTTTGATGACTTCAAAGTGATGTATTCGGCTTTCCATTTAATGTCGTACCCCTCGGCTTCCACGCCTTCCTGACTTCAGCTTCCACCTGTTGAGTGAATACGAGAGGTCGGGGTATTTTTGCACATTCCACCCTAACCGTACAAGAGAGGTGCCTATTTAAAGAGAATAGATCTCAGATCCATTCCACACCCCGCGAGAAAATCCTTTGAGCTTGCTAAGCGGAACCACCCCAACATGGCTAACCCTCTCAGCTCTTCCTCTCGTCCCCACGGCTCCGAAAAGGGTGATTGGGAGAGATGCTCCGTATCTCACAGTCAGCTATCGAAGCTACAAAAGCAGGTTTTTCTTCCTCACGCGGATCTAGTCCCCGTCCGAGCAGGGCTGACGTCCTTCAATGGCGGGGTTCAGGCGGAGAACTTCCCCAATCCGTCCAGGGGGAACGAGTATGCTTCGTTCCCTTCTTGCTAAGAGGTGTCGGATTTCCAATCCATCCCTTCCTCCGAGGACTTCTGGAGTATTATGGCCTCCAACTGCACAGTTTCACTCCCGCCTCCATCCTGCACATCGCGGGTTACGTTGCTCTATGCGAGCTATTCCTAGGATGCGAGGCCCATTTTGATTTATGGAGAAAACTGTTCTGCCTCGTCCCTCGTAATCAAGGGGGGTCAATATTCGAAATGGGAGGAGACGAAGTGTGGCATACCACCGGGACCGGATACCTATCCGACATGCCGAAAAAGGCCTCCGAAGAGTGGCCTTCTGAATGGTTCTATATTGACGACGTCGCTCTTCCTGACCCGGTCCAATGGGCCTCCCCGAATTTTCAGGCACTCCGTTGAACAAACGCTGCAGATGGCGTCGCCGGAGCCTCGAGGAGGAGGATAGCACAGAAGTCCATCAGTTGATGGGCAAGATTAAGGCGCTCGCCCAGTGCAGACTGTCAATAATCGAGGTAATGGTGATCTCCATAGTGCGCGGGCTCCAACCACTCCAATAAAAAGGGCTTCCCATGTGGCACTATAATGAGGAAGATGTTGCCTCACGTTGTGGTTGGAAGGGTCCGAAAACCCCCGCCGCTTTGACCAAAATATTGGCCGAACTGTACAAAGGGGAGAAGGAGGAATTCACTCGTCTCCAATGTCGAGATGGATTTTCCATGTATAATCCTCCTAGCTGGGTCATTTTTACTCCTCTTTGACCAAAATATTAGCCTTCCACCATTTTTACTCCTCTCCCTAAATCATTTTTGATGGACAGTAACCTATCCACTCGTTACAGGAATGGTGGAAGGCTATCGAGGGGATCCATAGCCCCGCCCCCAGCCAGAGGGTCACAACCGGGACCTTGACCCCGGATTCGAAGAAGATTCAGACATATTTGTGGAGCTCGAGGATGGAGTATTCCATCAGACGAGCTATGATGGTACAGAAGTACCCATCATCGCTGATTACCCCGGCCTCCTCCCTGCTTCGCATGTAAAAGACACCTTCTTTGAAAGAGTTTCCTTACTATGCCTCACCCACCACACTATTTCGTGTTCCAAAGGGGAGGCGCTCAACGCCACAACGTGCACCAGAAGTGTCTCCGAAGAGAGCGGCGCCCGCGCTGAGCACATCTTCGAAGAGGAAGGCAAATGATAATACGGCAGAACCCTCGTCAAAGAGGTAAGGCTTTTCTTTTGAAGAATACATCTTCTGATTGCCACATCAAATCGTGATGCCATTCGCCGCATTCTATCAGGAAAAGTGTCCGCCAGACTATATCCGGGGATCCTGCCGGTCGTGCCTCCACTAGTCAGGTTCTGGACCCTGCCCTAAGGACGGGGGCTGACATGGGAGTGGCGCCGAATTGTCCTTTCGCAGAGGATTCAGACAATATGTCCGTCACGAACTCTGAAGTGGAGAGCGCCACGAATCATCATCGTTGGAGGGACGCTCTCCATGATCCCGGCTTTTGAAAGGAGGCATTTGATGCCTTCAGCTCGGCCGATGCGTACATCCGAGATGCTCAGGATGGGCTTGTAGGAGCCACGGACCAACATCTAAAAGATATGTGGGTAAGTTTATATTGTACCAATCTGATAGTTATATACCAGTAGCCCCCGAGACTTGAAGCAGTTGATCCAACTGATTGAAGGATCATTGTATAACCAGGTTCTTGAGGAGAAGAACAACCTGTTATCTTAGGAACTAGAAAAGTATCGGACCCAGCTAACTGCTGCCAAGGCCGAACTGGAGAAATTCAAGAAGGCATCATCTAGTAATGTTCCCCTCCATCGAGAAAACATAATGGTATACCAATAATGCTAACACGATTGCTCACCTC